CCAGACTTTAAGAAAAAAATGAGCATGGAAATGAAATGTGAAAGATGCAACATGAATGACTTCAGTAATAATAGACACAAGTCCTATATGAAAAGTGTAGATAGGTAGATAGACAAGATAAATAGCAGAAAAAAGAAGCTTCTTGGAACAGCAGAAAAATAATTTAAATAAATAAATTTAAATAAAAGTTTGTGGAGTTAAACACTAGTAAAAAGTATGAAAAATCAAGCTTAATGGAGGTTGTGAATCAGTAAATTGCATATACAACAATGATTGCTATAAAAAAGGAGAATGAGATAAAGATTTTATGTAATCAAAGGCAGAATAATTGCAAATAAAATAGTCAAGGAGCAAGGAACTGTTTAGATTAAAAGAGACAGGAAAATTTGGAACAATTTTGTTGGAAATAAAATACTGTTTTCGAAGTTGGGGTGGGCGATCAAATAGGAAGCTTGCAGCAAAGTAAATGAGATTAATAATAAAAATGATATAATTTGAGGTAAAAATGAAATAAAGGAACACTGGAAATACTTTATAGATTTTTATGGGAAAGTAAGAGTTAAGCCATCCTAGTCTGATTTATGAAAATGATAATGATATATCAAACAGTAGAGTCAAAATAAATGCTACAAATGTTAGCATTCAAGATCCTAAATTTGGATTAAAGTCTTTATGTTATAAATCCTAGGACAATGTTAAAAATGGCAGTACTGCCTAGAGAAATACAAAAGTACAGTTTGTCTATGACAGAGGTCCCCAAACCCCAGTCCATGGACCGGCACCAGGCCACGGCATGCTAAAAACTGGGCTGCGCAAACAAGCAAAGCCCCATCCACGGGATGCAGGCAGCACGTGAAATCACAACCCTTCCAGTCTATGGGAAAAACTCTCTCCGCGGAACTGGCCCCCGGTGCCCAAATGGTTGGGGGCTGCTGGTCTATGAAGTAGTTGTATTATTTAATATGCATACTGAGAATGTATCTGTGCCTGATGATTAGAATAATCATCTAATTCTTCCTTTATACAATGGGAAATGTGACAAAAATGAATGCAGAAACTACTGAGAGTTTAATATTGTGTCTGGGAAGGTATTTGGCAGAATTCAGGATATAGGAAATAATAATGAACCAAATCTACGAAAAGTAGTGAAATTATATGTTTGACAGGAAAGCTTTTCTTCTCACATTTATTGTTTTAGAGAAGTACATGGTAAAGTGAACATGTTTCATGAAATTGCAGAGTTGCAGGTTGGTTGTTGAATACAATAAAAGAGGTATGTGAGTGAAATGCAGCATGCATCAGAACTAATGGGATATCCCAAATGTGGTTCCTTGTTATTGGTGTCCTACAATAATAGGCATCCCAGTGCTAGTATTCATTACCAAGGCTTACTAGCATTCTATTCTCATTATGAAATGCTTCCAAATGTTCAGAAGTACAAGGAACCAGAAACACAATTGGCACCATGGAGTAGATTTCCTCAAATTGGACTCCATCCAGGTAAGTGTATATCAGTTTTGGAATTCCCAAATTCATGGCCATTGTAGAGCTTTCTGGAATTTGAAGACCACATATCTAAAGGAATCTGACACTGAGAAGACTACTAAAGGTGCTCAGTAGCACCGCTGTTATTATTTGGAACAAACTAAAATTAGAAAGGATGCAAGAAAACTTTGATCATATTTTTTTTAGATAAATATGGCCTTTATTTTCAGTTGTTTGGTTTATACATAATATTAGATTAGGTATTTCTGGCTTACTAAACTCATCCATAAAGCTTCACTTCTCATTCTTGGATAAGAAGCGAAACGTCTTGAAAGAAAAACAAGAAAGTCCAGTTGTCTCGTGAAAAAGTACCTTTGGGACAACCATGACCTGGATGACTGAAAATCTCCATAGTTATCCATAAAATCTTAAGCAAACTGAGAGAGAAGGTGACTTGCTTTAAATGAAGAGCAAAGGGCTGGAATGATAGCTGGTGAAATATTGCTATCCCCTAAATTTCAGAAGTGCATTGCCTCTGCAAAAATTATTCAACAAAAGAGACATAAAAGAGTGTAAAGGAAATGATTTGGGATGTGATTTTTGTGCCCGTTTTTTTAAAATGTGCCCACCACATAGAAACCACGAGGATAAAAATGCCAAATCCTTTGTGATTACAAAACATAACAATGATCACAGTGTTCTTATCTGTGTACACATTTCTGAAGTTCTAAAAAAATCTGTGAAGTTCTAAAAAAATCTGTGAATCAGTGTCTGTGAATCAGCTTGCTTAGTGCTCAGGTGCTTTGTTCCCATTTTCTCCACTGCCAATCAACCATAATTAAATATGTAAATGCCAGTTCCCGGGATGTTATTGCTCTCAGAACTCTAGAAGAGAGTTATGTAGATGACTCTCCATAGACCATGTCAATGAAGCAATAGTAGCAATTTGGCACTGAAAACAAGTCATCAACAGACACACTTTAAATAAGGTTTCTTGTTCTTCTGACTTAATTATAGCATTAAAACATTTTAAGAGATATTTAGCAAAATACAAAGCAAAGATTAGCCTTTTAGCATCAGCTTTACTGCCAAGGATGGATTTCAATATTTTTAAAGACATTATTTTTGGGTGGGAGGTGAAGTGGCAGGTGGCTTTCCAAGTCTATCCAGGAAAAAAAGTCAAAAATAATTGAGAGTGACAGGAAAACCCTCATTCACTTGCCTTTCCAATGTTTGTTATTACAGTGAAAGGATGGAAGGAAGCTCCAGGTTTTTGAGCTTCTTTCCTAGATCTTCAAAGTCAGTGATGTTACAGTAGCTTTTTTCCAGGCTCATTTGTACCCACCTGTTTTACTAAAAATGGATACCTTTATTAATTTATTTATTAAATTTACGTGCTGCCCATCTCACTATCAAGCGACTGGCAGCTTACAACATCGTAAAAGCAAGTACGAAATGTTATGATATTAAATATTAAAATAAAGATTAAATGAGTTAAAAACCAAAATATAATGGGGTGGAAGTTGGACTTTTCTCCTAGTCCACTTATCACCTCCAGCATGATTGATTCTCATTATTGGCTGATTGTATACTCCATACTTCATTTTCCTGTCTCCTGTTCTGCAGTGTCTTTCTTTCTTCCTTCCATAGGGTTATAAGTTATTTTTTCCCCTCCTATTAGGCCTTGAAAATTCCAAACGTGTAATATTTTTACATCTGTTGCTTCTGGTCTTCACTCTTGTTGAGTTGGCTTGCTCATTTGTTTGAGTTTTCTTCCTATGGAAAGCTACTTCCTATATTAGATAGGATGCTACTTCCTAGAATTTCCTTGATTTGATTTGATAAATCTTTATCCTGCATCCTCTTTTACTTTGGCAGCTGGAGAAATAAGGATGCACCTTGTTCCTAGTGACTTCTAAATGAACAGCAAACTTTGCAATCCTTGTCAATAGTTTTATGCTGTCCCGTCATCACACTGTGAAGTTTATAATTTGAAACATCTTTATTTCTGTTACATACCAACGCCATTGTGAAATGACTGCTCCTGTATCAAAGTGCCCTTGTTTTCCCCTTGTTCCTGACTGCATTGGGCTCAAAATTTCCATGAAAGAGAGAGTATAAATCAATTGGTTTGCTTTTGCTTTTTTGTTATTTCAAGGAGCAAAGAATACAAGTGCAAAATATAAGTATAGAAAAAGCTAGCTTTTAAATAAGCACAACTCATTTGCTTTAGTAAAAGCAGAGGGGAAAAAATCTCAGCATCTCAACCGGCACAGACTTGAGCCAGTAAAAAGGCCATTAATGTGCTTTCCACTGAGAACCTGAAAGCAGCAGAATCATTGCGTGTTCAAGGGCCAACATAAAGGCGAGGGAGGAAGCCAAAATTACATTTATGAATTTTTCCTACTGCAGTTTTAATTGGGCTCCACAAGGTATTCCATTCTCTCAGAAATCACCACGACCATTTTATATCATCCACAGTCGAGGCAAGTTCGTTTTGTTATAATGAAGACAGTTTTTTCAAAAGTGCCATTATGGGCCAGAAAGTCCTGTATGGAGAATTTGCCTCCAAAAGAAACCTTTGCTGTCCTGGCAGTGACAATGTTAGGTGGCAAATTACCCTCATTCCCAAGTTCTAATGATGCCTCCTAGAGTTCCTTACTAGCCTGCTTAGAAGTGGAGTTCACCAGATTGGCACACTTAACTTCCCTCAATAGAAGAGTAGAAGTTCTTCACTGTGAAGAGGCTGAAAACCAAGAGAATTGCCTGAGGCACAAAGTATTTGCCTCAGTGCGTGGTTATTGAAAATACTTTACCTTGAATAGCAAACTACAAAATACCCCAAACCGAGGTGTTTTGACATTTCCAACAGAAATCATTTGTAGACATATTGTTTGTTTGTTTAATCAGTTTTTTAAAACCACCCATCTATCTGACAGGAGGACTTGGGGTGGTGTACAAGTAAAAAATATAAAAAGATAAAAACAGTATATACAATTTAAAAAGGCCAGGATAGGATAAAAAATAATATTGAAGTTAATTAAATGGTGCAGGGGAGGACTTTTAAGGCAAGTAACCAGCCCTATGGCTACATGCTCTTCTACAAGTTCCAAGTAGCACTATAGAACCACGTTTTTACCAAGAGACTGGGGGCCCTATCTCCTCTGAGGGGAGAATATTCCACAGGGTGGGGACAACAGCAGAGGTTCTCTTACTTGACCCAACCAGTCAGAATTCTTTAGCTGACATGATCCACAATATACCTTCCCTGCTTGACCAGGTGGAATGAGTTGATGTAATAGGACAAAGACGGTTCAATAGGTAACAGAACCGCAAATATTTATTTGCTCCAAATATATTTATTTTCATTAGAAAATGCTCAATTTCATAAATTTTAAATGTTCATGACAATTTGGGTAAAAACACTGAAAACATTTATCTTTCCTTGCGCCTCCCCCCCCCCCCCCCGGGTCATTTTTGTTCCTAAACTGTGTCATTGCAAACATTCAAAAAAACGCCCAGGTCCAGTTTGATAAAATTCCTGACCTCTTCAAGGGACTGAAAAGCAAAATTGCAGGTCCTTTGAGAATCTCATTTCTGTCTTGGAATTAGTTAATCTCTGATCAGAAACTTAATTAATTTCCAGAGACCTTTAGTTTGACCTGGGCTGTCTAAGTCATATTTGGCTGGAAGAATTGTCATGGAATGAGGAAACCCAGAGTTCCTTGTTACCTCCTAAGTAAGTCATGTCTTAGCATACTGTTGGAACATCACATTCTTCTTTGTACATATCTTTGCTTCAGCTTAGTTATTCATCTTTATAAGACAAGACAATGAACCATTTTTCCTCTCCTGTTTAATGTTTGATTCTATAAATAACTACCCTGTATAGAATATTAAATTATTGCCAAATTTAATTATTGAGTTAATGTTAAATGTATTTAATTCTCTCAATTTAGGACCACTCACTTGTAGTTGAGAAGAACAGTTTCTTGGTGGCAAGGCCTTTCTTACAGTAAAAACCATGGTATAATCTTACGCAGACCTCAGTTGAACCTGTAATCTTACATAAGGATGTATTTTTGAACTTTAATGTAAAGAAAACTTCACACAGAATTATGAAATGTTTAGTGTTCTGTGTTTGCATTTCTACAGTAATTATAAAACAACCTCTGTCCTAATAGTTCACAAGAAGCTGTTATTCCAGTGATTAAGATTTAAGATGTTGCTTAACTCTCATACAGATCATAAGTACTCTGAAGTGTACTCCATTAACCCTTTGCAACAACCAGCCAATGTGCTTTATTCATAAACCACTATTAACAAAGCTTTATTCATATTAATCCCCTGCAATTCATATTCCAGATCTAAAACAGTGCTCCACAAACAGTGTCCATATCACTTGCTGAGTTGTATCCATTAATGATAGAGTAAAATTGTAAAAATCCATTTTATTTACAGGACAGAAAATCTACAGTGCATTGGATTTCAGTCATCGGTGGCTTCAGTTGTATATCTTCAGTGAAGTGTGTGCACGCAAGTGCAAAGTGGTATAGGGTGGGATGGAGACCCAGGGAAGAGAGACAAAGTTGAGATACAATCTTGTAACATGATTTCAAACAGTAGTGTTCACTGTCCAAGAAAATGCCATTTATCAACTAAGATAAAAAAATGACAATTAATTATCAATAATTAACAATTATAAAAAGTTTGGATTATAAGAATTCAAAATCCAAATCACTATTATTCTATAGAGTATACATAGGAAAGAGTGTGATCTCATGTTGTTTTGTATATCAATCTAATGAATATTCAAACACCACGCTTTACAACATACACCTAGTCCTTGTTTAGCAACCACAATTGAGAGTGGTGACTCGGTCATTAAGCAAAGCAGTCACTAAGTGAAACTGACTGTGCTTATTATCTTACTTCAGCTTTCTTTTGCTTTACAGACATGCAACAGTTGTAAATGTGAAAATTTATCACATTTACCTTTTATCACCTTTTATCATCATCATAACTATGAATGGTCATTAAACAAGAAAGTCACTATGTTTACAAATCCTTTGGATCCCAACGTACATATAATAGCATAAAAGGTCTGTGAAGTATTTTGAGTGTGGTTTGTAAAAAGCTATCTGTTTTTTATACTTTCTATTTGCTTAATCAAGCAATAGGAAACAAGAATAAATTTGAAAATTATTTTTCTGCCATGATAATTAACTCCCAAGTTACATGTATATCTCTTTTATATCTTTTGCAATAGCATTAAATTTTATCTTCTAGACTGCTCTTCCCCACCCCAGCTCTGTACATTGAACATTACACTGCATGTGTCTAGTTGCTGATAACTTGCCCTTAAAGTTATGCCTCAAAATGACAATTAATTCCATCTGTAGCAGTATCAAAAAACAAAACTGAATAGGAGATAGTGTTTCCAAAAATGAGATTTGATCTCACTTTTTCATTTTGATAGTCTATCTATTGAGATGCCACATCCAGTTTTACCCAAGTCAGCACTTTCCAAATGTGTATTGGTAGTAAATACATCTGGATAGCATCTGGATAAAGATGAGGCATTCAATTTGATGCTCGGAGGCTCCTGGGCTCCTGCACTCCAGACATTTAGCATGTTTGACAAAGTTACCCAACTGAAAAAGTAAATCCCATCAAAATCACTGAGGTTTCTGCCATGTGCATAGAATTATAATTCTATGCACATGGTAGAAACATCCGTGATTTTGATGGGATTTACTTTTATATATGCTTGGTAACACAAAAGAACAACATCACAAGGGATTTAATTGTTTTAAAAGCCTGCAGAAAAATCACTTTTGAAACTTCAGTTAGTAAACGTTCATTAATTCTTGAAAAGGCTACATTCCATCAGCAAAACAGTTTCTGAACATTTAACTCACTCCAACAGAGCTCTATTCAATAAAAAAAATACACAGAGCCTGTTAAAAGCTAACTTTATATTTATTATGCTATGACTATACAAATAATTGCTGAAAATATCACAATAATAATAATAATAATCTCTCTCTCTCTCTCTCTCTCTCTTACACACACACACACACACACACATACACACACACAAACCCTCATGGGTGGCTGAGAATGTTCATCCCTAATCCTAAACTATTCCATGCATAATTATTTGTAAAGAAAAAATCTTAAGAAACACCTTTGGATTTACATCTTTACACCTAGGTACACTTAACTTAAGAGAGGGTATTCTACTGAGAATCCCACTGAAACCACAGTGGTTTACTTCTTAATAATTATAGAACGATATCCTATTGTTCCTCTCTTCCAGTTGCTCAGAGCAATACACTCAGCCCTCCCTTCTCCTTTTATCTTCAGTATAGGATAGTTTTGGCTAACAGACAATGATACATTAGAGGTCAGAGAGCTCATATGGTCTAGGACAGATATACAGAGATATGCACATACTTTGGTCTCTACAACACAGTTCTCTATAGAACAACGAACCTGTTCTGTAGATCATCTAAAACTCAATATGAATTGTAAGTACTTGTTAGGACACATTCAAACAATCTGAAAATAGTTCTCACCTTCTTTGGAAACAGAAGGCTCTTCCACAAAGGGTGGAGCCTAAAGAAAAGAAATAAATTATTTTGTAGAATGCATGGTGGTGTACAGATTACAAAAAGAGAGGTGGTAATATAAAATTTGATATAGTTTGTAATCTAAGAGTCTGTAGATTAAAATTCAATACAGCAAAGAGACAAAAATCAGATGGATAAAAATACAGGAAAATACAGGATATATAAATCAATTCATTTATATATACTTGACTTTAAATATAGAGAAACTAAGTTCTTCTGTGAAAGGCTTTGCAAAGAATAACTTGAGATATACATACATACATACATACATACATACATACATACATACATACATACATACACACATCTTCTAAATAGAATAGAATTAGAATAGAATAGAATAGAATAGAATAGAATAGAATAGAATAGAATAGAATAGAATAGAATTAAAAATAAAAAAAATAAAAGCTCAGGTCCTTCTGGGATTTAAATTATTTTGTTGTTGTTGTTGTGGCTTGTTTCTTTAAATAGTCTTCTTTGAATGATATTAAAATCTGGTTCCTTTGAAGCTTCATCTCACTTTTGAAAATGTTACAGCTTAACATAATTAGTACAAAAGTCTATCTATGCAGGAAAACAAACAAACACCAGCTGTATGTATTTTGGATCCTGAATGTGTGGTTTGCAGTTTCTAGTACTAGATGGGCTCCTAAAGTTGAACTCTAATAATTCTTCAAAAAATTAGAAAATTGGCCCTGAAAACAGAATGAGTTTAGACCATTTCAGAAGCGATTTTTAAAAGTTCTCTCTTGTGAAAAAGGCAAATAGCTCATCAAAAAATATTTTTAAAAGAAAAAAGTTCAGATCACATTTGCTCCACTTGAAGAACTGAAATGACTGAGAGTAACAAATGGATGTTTTAGTTCATTAATAGTTAAAAGGCAGCTTTTCTAAATAGCTGAGGCTTTTGAAAAATACTTAACCTTACTGATGCAATCCTCACAGTAAGTGAAATAACTTATACTATAAACAGATCACCATAGAACTAAGGAGAAACTTCCTGACAGTGAGAACAATTAACCAGTGGAACAACCTGCCTCCAGAAGCGGTGAATGCTCCAACACTGGAAGTTTTTAAGAAGAGAATGGACAGCCATTTGTCCGAAATGGTATAGGGTTTCCTGCCTGAGCAGGGGGTTGGACTAGATGACCTTCAAGGTCCCTTCCAACGTTACTATTATTATTATTATTATTATTATTATTATTATTATTATTATTATTATTATTATTATTATTATTTACAGTTTTAGGGTGATTATATATGTGTGGGAATGTTTTAGGATATAAACAGGCATATGTACTTTCAGTTCTTGTTTTACTTTTAAAGATAACGATGAATCTAATATTGTTGAATGGGGGTTGATAAAAATGGGAAAAACATGTTTTACATCGCAGAAAAAATTAATGCTTATTACATATTCCTCTCTGCTTCCTTCTTTTCCATACTGACCTCAGCCTCTGAGATCATGAGAAACCTGCATCTAGTATTTAATTTCCAAGCTAGCATTTTGGATTATAAGAGCATTAACTCTCAATTGCCTGTGACCAATATTGAAAAAGGGACTGGAAAGAAAAAAAAATGTATAAATTCCCTTACAGATTGCACAATAGCTTGGATGTCTTCTTCATTGCAGCAATATGGGCTAGTGCCCACCAGAAGGTTGGTGCTGAAAAGAGAACACAATTATTAAGACTTGACGAGTGGGGGAAACAGCTGTTATTTAGAGCACAGATAAGGAAAGAACAAAATAAGCTGTACATATGCAAAACAGTAAATGCTATCCGGGGTTTGAGATTATTTTTGTCCCATCTAACATGGAAAGTTTATAAATTAAACTGGATGACTCTGCACATACTTTGTGGTTTACATAGTCTCTTATTAAAAACCAAGCAGAAGATCAAAACAGAACTTGATTTTTAAGTGAGAAATTGCACAAACTCAAAAGTAGGCAGTTTTAGGTATTTCAGATGTTTTGGCTAAAGCCCAAGACCACGACTGGTTGGAGCTGATGAGATTTCCAACCAAAACATCTAACCAAGATCTAACCAATTTCTGTACACTGTAATGCATCAAGTCCCAGGCAAGAGGCAACTGTGATCTGAAATGGCATCTGAACCAACACTCTGTTTTCACTGCCACAAACCACAATATTTTCTGATATACACATACTGTGCTTGCACATTTCAAAATCTCATCTGTCCTGCCCTTTTCCTCCCCAGATCTTCATTTACTATCTGAAAAATCGTAATTAGGAAGATTTTGCTTTCTTGCAAATTGAGTCAAAGTCCAAACAGCAATTCTATGCATGCTATTCAAAAGTAAATACAATAAAATTTGACATAGTGGGCCTGTGGACAGAAAGAGAGGTCCATTTATCTTAAATCTAAAAGGTTCTTTTGTGCATGTGTGAGAAACCAGCTTGCTATAAAGCACAAGGTGAGGGTACCCTTATGTATTATTCTGTCACCTCCAAGTGCTACTTCAGATGTCTGACAACTGCAAGGAGGACAGTGTGACCCCTTCTTTTCTTCACCAAGTCTACATCCTCCCACAATAATGTCATAGCAGAGTGGTTCTCAGCCTGTGGTCCACAGATCCCTGGGGAGGGCCGCGATGTCATCACAGAGGGTCACCAAAGGCTTGAAGAAATGTTATGATTTAAATCTTGAGTTAAGTCTTGGGGGTCCGTGGCCATAGTCTGTGGCCACAAAAGGTATTTAAAGGGAGTCCATGGTGAAGAAAAGCTTGAGAATCACTGTCATAGCACAATATATCCTGCTGCTGCCATCAGTCTTCCTGTTGACCCTCCCAATTACCAGCATCATAAACTTCAGTTAAACCTTGATCCTGATTAATTTTATCTATTATTCTGGGCAGATCTTTAGATCCATTTGTCCCTGACACCCGAAGACTGTTAAATGGAGGTCCAAATGGAGGTTTTACTATACAACTGATTTCAACCAGACTTATTCCCAGGTAAATGTATAAACAGCAGTTTAACAATTCAGTCGTAGGCATGTTACCTACTTTGATCAATAATCAAATGCTTGGACTAAGCTTCTCTGAATGAACCCCATGCTGAGCTCTCGCCTCCAATTCTTGAAAGGTCTTCAAATAAAAATAACACTTCTTAACTAATGTAGCATTTTTATGGTCTCTCTTCCCTTCTCTTCTCCCCTTCCTCCATTACACAGATCTTTACAGCCACCCTGATTACTTGTACTTTCTAAGCTGAAAACGTTTATCCCTAAGGCTCTGTTCTTGATATTTTAATTGAAGCATGGGCAAATACTGGCATTGTGCAATAAGAACAAGCCATTCCTAAATACACTGATTATGAGGCAGCGGAAAGAAAAAAGGAAATACTGTGCCTGAGACATATGCAGGATAGGCTGTTCCCTTTACTCTCACCTTTAAGAAGTCCTGAGTCACATCCATGATTTCTTATTACCCCAGCCAGAATAAAGCATACTAAAAAAATCCCAAGACCCTTTCCAGAAAAGTTAACATTATCTTCAATTTCTGTGAGAAAACTCTAATGAAATAATAGGAATCCAACACATTTGGGAATGGCTTACTTACCAAGAAATCAGGGCTCGTTCAGAAAGGACAAAACAAAAAGTAAAGTATTTCTTTATGATAAAGATGCACTTGTTCAGTGGCCATGTAAAGTTACAGCAAACAGGTCTTATGACTGCTCCTTGTATTTGTGGTCATCATAGCATTCTTTGATCACGATTGTGATCTGGACACTTAATAATAATAATAATAATAATAGTAAAGTTGGAAGGGACCTTGAAGGTCATCTAGTCCAACCCCCTGCTCAGGCAGGAAACCCTATACCATTTCGGACAAATGGCTGTCCAGTCTCTTCTTAAAAACTTCCAGTGTTGGAGCATTCACCGCTTCT